GAACCTACAAGCAATAACATCTCAGTGAGATATATCATAACATATCAGTGAAAACAGTGAGAACATTTAGTGCCTGAATCTTGGTTTCCAAATACCACTCCCCTCTAAAAGGAACCAGGACTTGTTGTTGGAGAACTGGCTGATTTGAGGGATGAAGCAGGAAAAGTACTAGATGAACCTGGAACATCTTATACCAGAAGGTAAGAAAGTGCTAAAAAAATAATGGGGAAATGTCGTAAGCACATATGAGCCAGTTTGACAGAGCTCCTATTGGACAGTCTGAGCATCAAAATTAATAATGACAGCACACACTGAATAAAAAAAGAATTTTTGAGTCCACAGGAAGAAACAAATAAGTGAAGGAGATGGGGAGAAGGCAAAGTTCTTCTTTTTGGTAGAATGTGAACTAAAAAACATAGAAGGGTCATAGGGGAAGCTAAAACCCATAGGTGAAAGTTTCTTGGGTGTCAAAGATAAACAAAGCCAGATATTAGTTAAAGCAGTGAAAAAGATTTTATTCAATTAGTGACAGTAAGGGAAAGAGCTGAGCTCTATTCTGACTTGCACAGAGGTGGCTGGGCATTTCAAAGGAAGAATGAGGGGGCAGGGAATGCCTGTGCCGTGTATGGTGAGCTCAAGCAAAAAGTTATAAAGGGTCTGTAAATGTGACTAGGCCAGCTATACCTACTAGCTGACAATTATTGAAGTGAGGATTTTATCCTCCCACAGTGACTGAGAGAAGATGAAGATTATATTTCAAGGGAATGGCTTTCAGATCCTTGAGAAAGACAGTCCTGAGTTGTAGGAGATGCACATACATCTCAAAGGGACAGAGGAAGGATTCATAATTATAAACCCTTTTTAGTAAATGCTCTCAGGGAGGTTCAGGAGTCTATCATCAAATGCTTGTTAAAGTAATTATTTTGACAGCCCTGAGCTTTTCTAGACAGGAACTCAGAAGGGTGCTGGGTTGTCCTAGGGACGTGGCTTTAGATTGCTGGAAGCCATGTTTAAGTTTGGTCAAGTCTCTCACTTGCAGGGGTTTGAATGGGGTGTTTGTGTGATAAGTTTTTTGCATTCTCATGAGTTAAAAAATATTTACATATTCTCAAAATATCTCCTCTTAAATTACTTACTCATTAAGAAAATAACTTACTTCATAGTGGAGAAATCTCGTAGACCCCTTCACCAAGTGCTGAAAGTCATCCTCATCAACAACATGACACACTGACATCAGGTGGCTCTTGATGTGATGCACATAAGACACAACATCATGTATGTAGTACTGTTGCTAAATGTGCAACCTGAATCAAATCATGAGGAAACAAGCTGACAGATCCAAATAACCATCACTCTAAGAAACCACAGACCGAAATTCTTTAAAAATGTCAGTGTTACAGAGGACAATAAAAAGTCAACTCCAGATGAAAGGAAACTAAAGAGACATTAAAACTAAATTAAAAACCACAGCAAGACTTTACTATACACCTATCAGAATGGCTAAAATAAGAAATAATGATAACACTAAATGTGGACAGAGACACAGGGAAACTAGATAATAAACACACTTTTGGTGAGAATGTAAAATGGTACAATCACTCTGGAAAAGAATTTTGATAATTTCTTTGACAATTAAACATGTATCATCATACCACTTATAAATTGCACTCCTGGGCATCTAGCTCAGAAAAATAAAAATGTATGTACATACCAAAAAACTCGTATATAGTTGTTAATACCAGTTTATTCATAAATAGAAAAAAAACTGGAAATAATCCAGATTTTCTTCAATATCAGTTCAGATGAACTGTTAAACAAATTGCGGTACATTCATACCATGGAATACTACTCAGCAATAAAAAGGAGCAAACTACTGATATCCTCAATCTGGATAAATCTCTAGAGAATTATACTATGTGAACAAAAGAAAAACCAATTCCAAAAGGTTACATACCCGTGACTCCAAATATATGACATTATGGAAATGACAAAATATGAGAAAAGGAGAACAGATGAGTAATTTTCATATGTTAAGGAGGGGGTGGGGCAGGAAGGAAGTAACAAAGGGCAACATGAGGGATTCTTAAGTTGGTGGAAATGTCTTGTATTGACATTGACTGCATTGGTGTCAATATCCTGGTTGTGATGTCTGTTACAGTTTTACAGGTTGGGAAAACTTGAATTTCTCTCCTGTATTTCTTACAACTGCATGTGACTCTACAATTATCTCAAAATAAAACATTTAATAATAATAAAAAAAACAAATGAATTTGATCATGGCTTGGATTCTGTGTTGGAAAAAAGTTTATAAATTAGGATAATTGGCAAAGTTTATATATTTACTGTATATGTTAGAAAATTGTATTATATCAATATTAAATTTCCAGAATTTGATGACTGCATTGGTGTTATGTAAGAAAATTCCTTTGATCCCAGGAGATACATTAGGTTATTTAGGGTTGATTAATCTTGATATCTGCAATTTCCTCTCAAATAGTTTAACAAGTAAAACAAAATGGATTAAAAAAAATTTTTTTTAATGTTTTGTTTATTTTTGAGACAGAGAGAGACAGAGCATGAGAGGGTGAGGGGCAGAGAGACAGGGAGGTACAGAATCTGAAGCAGGCTCCAGGCTCTGAGTTGTCAGCACAGACCCCGATGTGGGGCTCCAACCCCCGAACATGAGATCATGACCTGAGCCGAAGTTGGAGGCTTAAACAACTGAACCACCCAGGCGCCCCAAAACAAAACTGATTTAAAATGTATATATATAGGGGCACCTGAGTGGTTCAGTCAGTTAGGCATCTGATCTTGGCTCAGGTCATGATCTCACAAACTCTCATCGGGCTCTGTGCTGATGGTGTGGAGCCTGCTTGAGATTCTATCTATCCTTTTCTCTGCCCCTCACCTGCTTGTGCCTCCGCCTTAAAATAAATAAACTCAAAAACAATCTTTAAAATACGTATGTAAAGGGTGTGTGTGTGTGTGTGCGCGCGCACATATGAGAAAGAAAAGGAATAAAGCAACTGTGCCAAAATGTTTATAATGAGTAAAGAGTATATGGGATCATTGTAGTATTTTTACTTCTCTGTATGTTTAAATTTATTTTTCAAAATAGAATATTTAGTTTAAAAAAGTCCTCCATTAAGGCAACAAATTGCCAGGGGATAGAGAATGGCTTAGGAAAGGTAACAGAGGAAATCACAATCTGTTTTGAGTTCTACCTTGAAATCCATGCCAGGAAATTGAAACTTAAGAGTTCTGTTTGCTTTGACTTATCTCCACCCTCTCTTTCTTAAGAGAATGTGTTTACATTCTCTCACAAGGAATACTGTGAGAGAGATTTAATCTACACACATGAAAAGCAAATTTATAATTTATTTTTGGAACCATGCAAAATAAAATTTAAAATTAAAAGCATACCTTGATAAAATGCAGAGAGGAAAACAGGCAAGGGAAAGAGTTGTGAAGAAGGAATAAGCAAACAAGTCACATGAAACTAGACGTGTTTGTGGAAAAATGAGCTTTGTAAATAAGTACTAACATGAACTTTATTAGTCATTGACTTTACTTTGTGTGTGTCTCTGTGTGCGTGCCTTTTTCTTAAAACACCACTTGCCCGTATTCCATGCAGGAAACCTTGCCCTTTTCCTAGAACAAAAAATTAGCATCAGGTTCTGTAAATTGTTCCTTTCCTTGGACAAATGGCTCTTCTCTAAAAGGTTTCCACAGTGAAAGAGAACTAGATAATCACCTAAAGTCAGACTAGTATCTTGCTCTGTAACCAAGTTTTTTGGTAGAATTTTCAAGTGAGGCAATTAGGTGTGGCTTCTTGCCTCCCACTTCAACTTTAAAAGGAAAAAGAGGAGTAAGTTGGTGGCTCAGTCGGACCACCCCTTGGTTTCTGCTCAGGTCATGATCTCCAGTGTGAGATTGAGCCCCTGTGAAGCTCTGTGCTGAAAGCGCACAGTCCGCTTGGGATTCTCTCTCCCTCTCTGTGTCTCAGCTCCTCCCCTGCACTCTCTTTTTGTGAGTCTTTCTGTCTTTTTGTCTGTCAAAAATTAATTAAAAAGAAAGGAAAAAGAACAAAATCCAGCTGAGGTTTTCAGTGACACCTTGCAAACTACAGAAAATACTTCTCAGGGTCCAAACATTTTTTTTTTTTTTTAGTTTATTTATTTATTTTAAGAAAGCACAAGAAAGTGAGGGGCAGAGAGGAGAGACAGAATCCCCCTGATGTGGAGCCTGAACTCAGGAACAGTGAGACCATTACCTGAGCCAAGTTCAAGAGTCAGAGGCTTAACCAACTCAGCCACCCAGGCGCCCCCCCCCCCAAACTTTCGAAACAGCTATTACACAATTTTTCATCTTAAACTGTTTCTTGCATGGTTTTGAGAAATGTGTCAACCAGTGCCTTCAAAGAGCACCCTCTTATTAGATCTTTCCATTATAAGTTCTAATGAGGAATAATAGGAATACTATTTCCCTTTGAGCTCTACTATTCACCACGTCTGTCCCCTACAAAGGAATACCTGTGTGTCACATTTCATCGAATAAACAAGTCATCGATTCTAAATCACACAATTAAAAAAATTTAAAAAAAATAAATGACACAATTTTAGAAACTACATCACGAAAGAGAAATGTTACGTATACTATGACACGCCGGACCATTGTAAGACGCATCCTAATTACAGGGATCGTAAAATTTCAACAATAAATAAATAAAATAAAAAGACGCGTATTCACCAAATGGTGGGCAAACCGCACAGACAGCAAGCGCAGCACGTTCAGGAGTGAAAACGCCGGGGTCTAGCAGGTCAGCCGGCTACTAGGTGCGGGCGGAGCTTCGCTCCTGCTTCCCACGCGGAGGCTCGCGCGCGCGCCCCGCCCCTCGCTGAGTTTCATTTTCCTTTCAGAGGAAACGAAAGCCGGGGCAGCCTGGGTGGGCGGGGCGTGAGCTCCGCGGCTCTGGGGCGCGCGGCGGAGCGCCTGGCCAGATGACCCCGGCGTTCCGCCAGGGCGGTGCGCCCTCTGTGCGTTCCGGGTCGAGCTCGGTGCCGACAGGGATAGAGAAGCTTTTTCTCAGTTTCCCCAGCATCGAACTTCGCGGTGGAGGTTTGACGCGTCTGTGGAAACTGAGGCAAGTGTGGTACTAAATTTGGAAGTTTTTTTTCCAGGGACGACGGCGGACGGGGCTTTGCTGAGATGCCACCTGGGCAATCAAGGCATTAATTTGGATTTTGCAAATGATAGTAATGATGTATATTCATTTCATACATAGATTGGACCGATGCATTTTTTTCAACCTGAAATATTTGGACTTGCGTTTCGTGTTTAATTTCAAAGGAAATTACAAAAGTGTTGCAAACTTGTAAAAAAAAATTTGAAACAATGCTGACAAATGTGTAAAGTAGAAACCGAAATTTCTCTTAATCCTCAACTCAGTATCATTTTTTGGTATACTTTACCAGAAATTTTCATATATACCAGTTTTTAAAATTGTTTTGTAATTTACCTTTTTCCACTTAACAGAATGTGATGGACATCTTTTAATGACAAGACATCCAGATATGTTAACCTCATTTAAAAGAATTGGTGCTTAATATGACAAGGACATCATTTATTTAAACAATTCAGGGGCATTTGGGGTTTTTTTTTCCCAGTCTTTACTGGTATAGATGATGTAGCAGTGAATATTTTATTTACACATTCATGTGAATATACAAATATATTTGTGGAAAATTCCCAGAAGTGGAATTGCTGTGTCAGTGGGCATATATATTGAGAAATTTGAAAGATTTGTGCAAATCATAGAATTTTAGTCTTAATCCCCCTCCAACCTCCTTGCCTTCTTTTCCTGGAAGAAAGCTAAATTTAGATATTTAAACATAAAACTTCATTCTATGACCCTTGCAAATCTGGTTTCCAAGTGTTTGAAAATGAAAGCAGTGGTAACTGCATGTTTTACAGCATTGAGGTAGTTATACTTTGAAATTGTTTCAGAATACAAGGCAAATTAACATATATATATTTAAATACTGACATACAGTGCAGTATTGGTTTCAGAAGAAAAACTCAGTAATTCATCACTTACATGTAACACCCAGTGCTTACTCCAAAAAGTGCCTTCTTTAATGCCCATCACCCATTTAGCCCATCCCCAGACGTGCCTCCCCTCCAGCAACCCTCAGTTTGTTCTCTGTATTATATGGTTTGAACAAGGCAAATATTTTAAATTTTTTAAATGTGTATTTATTTTTGAGGGGGTAGGGGCAGAGAGATGGGGAGAGAGGGGGAAGCAGGCTCTATACTGAGAGCAGAGAGCCCGATGGGGGGCTCAAACTCATGAACTGTGAGATCATGGCCTGAGCTCAAACCCTGAGTCGGATGCTTAACTGATTAAGTCACCCAGGTGCCCCTGAACAAGGCAAAAATTTTAAAAGATTTCTTTTTAGTGTTATGTGCAGAGTGAGGCGGGGTAGGGGGAGGTGTTAAATCTAGATATCTAGGCCATCTAATGTGTTCGTAGGAACAAAATGGGTAGGAAAGTAGCAGTGGGTATACAGTTCAATCTTTTTAAAAAAATTTTTTTAATGTTTTATTTATTTCTGAGAGAGAGACAGCACGAACAGGGGAGGGTCAGAGAGAGTGGGAGATACAGAATCTGAAACAGGCTCCAGGCTCTGAGCTAGCTGTCAGCACAGAACCCGATGCGGGGCTCCAACCCACAAACCGTGAGATCATGACCTGAGCCGAAGTCGGATGCTCAACCAACTGAGCCACCTAGGTGCCCCCCATCTTGATTTATAGAACAATAACAAAGAACTTAAAGTTTTGGGACACCTGGGTGACTCAGTTGGTTAAGCATCAGACTCTTCATTTTGGCTCAGGTCATGATCTCACTGTTTGGTTCGTGAGTTCAAGTTCCAGCTCCGACTTTGAACTGACCTGCTTAGGATAGTCTGTCTCCCCTGCCCTGTCCCTCTATCTCTTACACAAGTGCATGTGGGCATGCTCTCTCTCTCAAAATAAATAAACTTAAAAAAAAAACCTTTGTTTTGATTATCCTTTTTCACTATTAAAATGTATTGTACTTTGGCACTTTTACACAATGAGGGGCTTGCAAAGGGAAAAATATTTAACATGTACGTAGCCTCAAGGTAAGTCCTAATGTCTTCAACATGGACTGTGAGAGAGAGTAACTGCAAGATTCCCTCTTATTTGGGATTTCATCTGGTGTGTCCTAATTTGTGCACCTAGCACATTACCATTACTCAAGAAACATGACTTTGAGGTAGCTTGTATCATGTTCTAGGCATGTCAATTTTGTTCCTCTTGGAGCATTTAAAGACAGAGTCAGTTTTCCTTGTGGAGAGTCTAGTTGTAGGTGAAGAGCCCAGTTAGAGACCAAGACCACCCAAGGTTTCCTGTATCACCTTTTTTTTCCCCTTTCTATTTCTTAGAAGATTGATTGATTCTGTGGCTACAATGATGGTGGACTTAAGCCACCAGTTTCTAATTCATTCACATGTACTTATTTTAAGGGTAAAAGTTTTGGGAAAAGTTGGGAGCTAAGTTAGTTTGTTTCTTTGGGACCGAAAACCATTAAAAAATAGACTTTATTTTTTTAGAGCAATTTTAGGTTCACAGCAAAGTTGAGTGGGAAGTACAGAGTTCCCATATACCCCATCTCTGCCTCCTGTCCCTATCTCAACCATTAACAACATCTGGCACCAAAGTGGTGCATTTGCTGCAGCTGATGAACCTATAGTGATAACATCATTATCATTGAAAGTTCATGTTTTATAATAGGGTTTACTCCTGGTGTACATTTTTTAAAATATTTTTATTTATTTCTAGGAGAGAGAGAGACAGCATGAGCAGGGGAGGGTCAGAGAGAGAGGGAGATACAGACTCCGAAACAGGCTCCAGGCTCTGAGCTGGCAGTCAGCACAGAGCCCGACGCGGGGCTCGAACCCACGAACTGCGAGATCATGACCTAAGCGAAAGTCGGAAGCCTAACCGACTAAGCCACCCAGGCCCCCCTCCTGGTGTACATTTTATGAGTTTTGACAAATGTATGACATATATCTACCGTTATAGTATTATACAGAATGATTTCACTCCCCTAAAAATCCTCTGTGGGAGCCAGTTTTTTGAGTCAGGGCTTAAGTTTGAAAATTCACCTTTCTTGGACTAAAGCCATCCTTTTTTCCTCTGGTGGGTACTTATCACTACTTGCTTAGCTCAACTGCATGTTCTGTGCCCATTCTGCCTTTCTCCATCCTTCTTAGATCTCAGGTTTCACTTTCCTTAGTTTTGTAGCCCCACCTACATTTCCCCTCTGTGATTAACTCTGAAGATTGCCCTTTTTGGGGTCTGGCCTGCAGCCTGCCCAAAGGATACTCTCCATTGGGTTTTACTGCCATATTTGGCTGACATAAGTAGTTTTGAAGTCTTGGCAGAGTACAGAACAGTGTCTTTAAAAAATACAGCCTGGGGGGGTCTGTGGGTGGCTCAGTCAGTTAAGTGTCTGACTTTGGCTCAGGTCATGATCTCACAGTTCATGAATTTAAGCCCCATGTCACGTTCTGTACTGACAGCTTAGAGCCTGGAGCCTACTTTGGATTCTGTGTCTCCTTCTCTCGCTGCCTCTCCCCCACTCACACTCTGTCTCTCTCTCAAAAATAAACATTTAAAAAATTTTAAAAATATAGCCTGGTTTTTTGTACTCTCTGTTTTATCAGATTTCCCTGAATTTGGTCTTAAAGTCCTTTTTCTTGCTCATGGGATTACCAACTGCCATCATTTCTCTTTTAGTTTAACTCTTCAGGCTGAGCCTCGTGACTATTTATGAGACTTTTAATTTATTTAATTTATTAAGAGACTATTAAGACTATGACTATTGAAAATAAATACTAAGTAAAGGAAGTTATTATCTGAATCATTTAACACGAGTTTATTAATATATGCCACTTATATATTTAGATGTTTCCCAACTTTAGATTTTCTCCTTTCCTTCACATTTTGTAAAAGAATTAAGAAAAAAATTTGAATACTTCTCATCCCTAATTCATTAATTTTTTGAATCTTGGAATAGGAACACTGTTGCCACCCAGAGTTCCTTTAAGAATATTAAATCTATCCTCCAAATAAATTATTACTTATTTTAAAATTACATATTAACTAATAACAAGTTTGAAAGCTAAGAGAAATAATTTATAAAAAAGAAAAAATGATTTGTAATTCCACCAATGAGTTACTTTTTAATGACTTTTTTGGTATATTTCATCCCAGTCTTTCCTTTCTCCCCCTCTCTCTCTTTCTGTAGTTAATACATATTTTTAAAAAATTGGGTTCATACCATATGATTTTTTTTAATGTTTTTATTTATTTCTAGGAGAGAGAGAGAGAGACAGTGTGAGCAGGGGAGGGTCAGAGAGAGAGGGAGTCACAGACTGAAACAGGCTCCAGACTCCGAGCTGGCAGTCAGCACAGAGCCCCGACGCGGGGCCCGAACCCACGAACCGCGAGATCATGACCTAAGCGAAAGTCGGACGCTTAACCGACTAAGCCACCCAGGCGCCCCCATATGATATTTTTATAATTCCTTTTTTATTCAGTGAAATGTTATAGTCATTGCCCCATCTCTATTAGTTTAAGATGATTTTTATGGTACTTCATTTTATGAGTGGGTCATAATTTACTTAATTCTTATTGTTGCATTTCCTTTTTTTTTTTTTTTTTTTTTGGCCATTATAAATAGTGCTGCAACTCCTGAATTTGAAAGCTTCCTTTCTGGGGCACCTGGGTGGCTCAGTTGGTTAAGCGACCGACTTTGGCTCGGGTCATGATCTCACGGTTTGTGGGTTTGAGCCTCACGTCAGACTACTTTGGATTCTGTGTGTGTCTCTCTCTCTGCCCCTCCCCTGTACACACTCTCTCTCTCTCAAAAATAAATAAAACATTTAAACATTTTTTAAAAAAGAAAGCTCCCTTTCTTTTTTTGGCAGTTGCCAACAGCAAAAAATTCCACTTGAGAAATTAAATAGTGGTTTTGTTTTTTTGAAATGTTTATTTATTTATTTTGAGAGAGAGAGCATGCATGAGTGAAT